CAATTAACTTTAAATTAATAGTTTAATAATAAACATTAGCACCATTAGCATAATTATTAATATTGTAATTAGCAATAAATTATTTCTAATAATTTCATATAAAATAAAAATAATTAATTTTGAGTGCCAATTATACTAAATACATATCGTTACGTATTTACAATAACACAAAAGGAACAAAAAATGTCCTGTTCATTTTTACCGGAAACCAACGGTTACCGAGATGATCGACCTCGAAGTTCCCATAGGAATAACATTGAGTTAGCTATTGTAGGTCATTGTAAAACATTTTATTTCAATTCTTATTCAATAAATTCAAAGTATTTCAAATTATAATCCAGGATATAATCTCTTAATATCATTAATTAATTCCTGGAATGGGTCCAATTTAAGGTTATGCACGTCGTGACGCCATAAATACTCGCACATATATACTTGCATATTGTCTCTCCTGTAGCCATCGGTTTCAAGTTTATGTTTGAAATGTTTCCAGAAACCTGTAATAAAAAACAATGATTAATACGCCCACGCCCACCCGCCCGCGCGCCCGCTCACACATACCTTCAATTGTTTGTGTGTGAGTTCCAGTGTCAGGATCCACAAAATTGCGATCATGAATTACAGTTTGATGCCCGTACCCTTCATTTTGCAAACCGGCGTACGCTGCCCATCCATCCTAGTAAATCATTGTTCCGGGATGAACATGGCGTCGAATAATAGGGAGCAAAGTGTCCGCATTTCTCAGATTATTTGGACACAAATCAATGCGAACACGATTTGTCCCCCTTTCTACCATCCCTAAGATCCAGTGCCCCTCCCGAACACGCCCCAAATTGTATTTTCGCTTTCCTACCTATACATGTAAATAAGTTAGGTTAGGTTAGGTTGCATATTACGGAGCGGAGCGACCCTATATGTGAATTTTAGTATTTGACCTATTTTCGGTTTGGGTTGGGTTGGGTTGGGTTAGGTTAGGTTAGGTTAGGTTAGGTTGGGTTGAGTTGGGTTGGGTTGGATTGAGTTGGGTTAGGTTACTTACCTTAGTCTCATCAATTTCCACGATATCATCGGCCCAACCTCCCAATGGCTGTTCATTTGCATACTTGGCGTCCAGTGCGGCTTCACATACTTCTCTACAGTATGAAAACCAATCGGCGACTGTTTCACTGGAAGTGGTTTCTCCATGAATACTTGTCTCACGTATTGTTTGCTCATAATTGGAACCATTTGCAAAACAATACGTGATTAGAATTATCTATTTTAATTTAAAAACATAAATGAGTAATACGTCTACGCCCTCCAGCCCGCTCAAACATACCTTTTGTGGAGATAATTTGCTCTTTTCTAACCATGTGTTTTTTGCTGCTGATATCTCAATCGACCCTCCGCGCGCATGTTGTCGCTGACAACGGAATACTCCCCATCCAAGGTCTTCCCGAAGGGTCATAGCCCGACGACATTGAGGGCAATTGCGTGTTGTGGGGAAAAGGCCATTTCCCCGCATCCAATTTAGGGCCGATTCGCGGTCCTTGCACGGCCCTGTTGCCAGTGTGTAAAAATTGGCCCCAAATATGACATTTGGTCCTCCTGGATCTGCTGACTGAGCCATTGAAGCACAAGACTATTGGACTATTGGATCAGTTAATGATAATTACTTTCAAACAAATGATTGCAATGTGGCAAATGTGGTGATTAGTAAAAACAATAACAATAAAACCAATGCTTTGAATAGGAAAGGGAAGTACTGTTGAACTTTTAGTACATTACTACACTACTCCATACTGTTCATAAATAATGTAAACGTATTTAACTTTTCTACAATGTTATTCCTATGGCAACTTCGAGGTCGATTATCTCGGTAACCGTTGGTTTCCGGTAAAAATGAACAAGACATTTTTTGTTCCTTATAACCTAAGCTTAAAAAATATATGAACCATTTTGACCTTCGCTCCAGGAAACATACGGAAGTTGGGCCGCAATAATAATCATAATTACGATAAAGTGATAGACTTTTGTGAAAAGTTATTCAACACGAAGGATACCCTTCGCGCGCATGGATTACACTCTTATTCGCGTTAACCGTCTCCTTGTATGCCATTTATGAGGTGTTCATGAAGTTGGTGTCACTGAACAGTACTCACCGCTCAGACTATCGGCTGAAAGTGCAACAAATATATACTCGACATCACATCCAAAGCCATCTACTCGGCCGACGAGTCATCAATATATTCTACAAGTAATACAATATTAATATACTGTAGTATACAATGAAAAATATATATTTTGATAATTAAAACTTATTTTATTGAATGTAGGTTTCAATTGAAAACAATATTAAGCGCAATATTATGCTTGTGTTTACGGGTACAGTATTATTGATTCCGGGCCGGTATTCAATGGTATGCCTATAGGTGGTCAGTATTTGCACGTGTCTGGGCTTTACATCCATGTATGCCGGGATCGTGGCGTTCACTGAACTACACATTGGATTCACTAATAAACTGAATCCACATTCAGACTACTCAAAGGATTATTGACCCTGGTCACACCTTTTATCGTAGGAAATTATATTGAGGATTATTCCGTGAAATTCATAATCTGGGAACAAATTGGAGGACATTTTTGCACTCTTATCTACATTTAATCCCTTTATCTACATTTATTAACATACCAGGTGTAATACCTTTCCAGGTTTCATAGACAACATGTGATTAATGATGTGATTTGAAATCATGGAATTTTTTGCATTAAGTGTTGAATGTATTCATGATATTGTGTTTGAGAAGCATTTTATTACTTATTTCATTTGAATGTTTTAACTGATATTTAAATCATAAAATTAATATCTTTAAATCGAGTTTTAAACTGATATTTATACCAAAAACAGTTGAAACTGTGATGTGTTAAGTGTATGAATGGTGTTGTGATTGGAAAGCATTTGATCACATTTTGGCAAATTCACTGCATTTTCTCATTCAATCCCAAAACACTTGTTTTTTATGACAAAAAAAATTGTATTTGGTGTAAACTTTAACACAAATCCCGAAATTTACACAATTTTCTTAATTCACACTTCACTTCATTTCAATCATTTTTATTAATTGTTAATTATTGAGTTTTTTAAATAAGTGAGTTTTTAAAGTTTACAAACAATCAAACTAGTCCAATATTAAGTGATTTTAAAAACAAACCAAAAGTAGATCCAAAATTATCTGGAAAAATCATTGAATTATGTGTTAATGATAATGCATTTAGTTTTATAAATGGGAAACTAAAGTGTAATGTTTGTGAGTATTATTTCGAAAGCATTGATTCACAACACTGACTATACAATAATGAGACATAGACAGACAAATACATACAAAAAATTTGTCTAACAATTCAACACGTCTGACGGGTTGTTATTAATTACAGATCAGGCCCTAGCTTGTAAAAAGGCTGTTCGTTTGGCCAAAACTGAATTCAAAAATGCTAAACATGTTACTTGTTTAGCACATGCTATTCATCGTGTGTGTGTTAGTCAAAAAAGTGAATTATCAGATAAATTTATTTCTAATATGAAAACATTTTAACCAATTCCCCAAACGAAGACGTAATTTTCAAGAAATTACAGGACTTTGTGTTCCAAAACAACCAATAATTACCCATTGGGTTACATGGCTTGAAACTTCATTCTTTTATGCAAAGAATTTTGATAAAATGTGTGAATTTATCAAACAATTACCTGATTCTAAGAATAAGTCAGTTATTGCTCTCAAAGAACTCATAAATTCAAAAGAACTTAGTCTTGAGATTAAGGGATTAACAGATTTGTAGATATTAACTAAATCTATAATACAAATACAAAATAAGAGCCAATCAGTTGAAAATCAAATTAAAATTATCAAAACAATACTTTCTCAATTAAAAGATAAGTTATGCCATTGAAAAGTTGAAAAGCAGTTTAGCTAAAAACCCAGGCAGATTATATTAAATCAAATATATTAAATGAGTATAAATATGCTCAGCTCACTAATTCTTATAAGAGATCATTCTCCAGACTTAATAATATGGCAACTGATATACGATTACGTATGACTCCATCTAATATTCAAAAATATTTATTTGTAAATTATAACCAATTTCTATAAATATTATTAATAAAATTGAATTATCCAAAAACTTCTTTACACTGTGTATAAAATTTCTATTTTCAATTATGTAGGATCTCCAATTTGTATCCCAGTTCATAATTATGGAATTTGTTTACTTGTCCTTTTTATGACCCTGTTTATTATAATTTATTGATTGTTTACTTTTCTCGTAAGAAAAATGTAAAAAACGTTAATGTTATCAGTAATCAATAGTAGGATAATAAATAAATAAATTACAAAATTAACATTTTATTACTCAATAATATGTAAGTTTTAATACTACGGTATATCTATAGCCCAAAGACTATGAAGCTATACTGTAAATGAAACTGGACGTGTCATAAACATTATAAACAGGTAATACGAGACATTTGTTGCTAATGTAATTAATTTTTGTATTATACAGGTAAATTTATATGAACAATAAAATATTTGATAATAAATTAAAACAATATATTGAATACAAAATTCAAATTTTAGTATTACTAAGAGAACAATATATTGTATGGATTTGAGTCTTATTATTAGTATATAATAAAAATATCTTTAAAGAAGGTTTTGATCACAAAAAATAAATAATAAATATTGTTTTGAAATAAAATCCAAATGCGACTTTCAATTACTTTGTTTACAAAGTCTTTGCCATTTATACCAAACCATAGACCGAGTAATCCTCCCGAATATGATATATAATCCGTGAAAGATATTACCGGTTCTTCCCGATAGATATACATGGGTTG